AAAACTTTGACCCTCTGTTGTGCCCCCAAACCCCTTCTGTATAATAATGCCTTAGCATAATAATTTCATTCGATAATTCAAGTTATAATTTACAAAGGTAATATGCACACTGCATTAAACAGGAACATATATATATATATATATATATATATATATATATATATATATATATATATATATATATATATATATATATATATATATATATATATATTTGGCGTGCACCGTTCATGCAGCTTGCGTGTGGGGTAGAAGCACATTTCAGGGTCTGTATGATTGATGAAAATTTGTATTTTAAGCTTCATAATTATTTATCCCGCTTCAGACAAATTTGTAGATTACTGTTTGGATAAAAGCTAATCACATGACGCCCTGAATTTTGCCGTATTACGTCTCCATCCAGGGGTAATATTAAAATCGAACACGCGATTCGGTTCGAAGCGTCGTTACTAGTATTGTAAATAAAAATGGCGGATAAGAAACGGTTTGCGTTGGTAGTTAAATTCCCTGTTACTTTTTAGGATAATTTATGTTGATTGTTATTGGATTAAAAACTAGATATTTTGATAATATGCTCATAGATTTTTAAAGAAGATTTTAAGAAGGTCTTCAGCGTGATAAATTCGTATACACAGTCAGTTAGAGACCTAATACGGATTTCCATTTCACACCCTGTATGACTCTGTATTAGGTGTCTGACTGTGTAACTAATGATACACGACAAATAGCGTGTTTTGATCTTATTGTGATAATCAGCTTTTCAAGGTACGATTACTTATAATTTTACATTGTATTTCCAATGGGTTAACCCTATTTTAAAATTTGTTTTTGGATGAATCGCAATTTCTTGATATTTAAGGGTATTTCAAATTTTTCGAAATGGCTGACATTCAGGAAGTGTTACGATATTTCAGTTCTGTTCTAATTATTAACAGAAAGTGAAGAAAAATACGAGCAATCATTTATTTACATTGGTCATAAAGATATCTGTATCCTGATTGAATCATATATTTGCAGGCTCTATCAAGATTCGCAATAATGATAATTTTGTAACAGGTTCACCACATGAACCGGTTCAACGATGAGAAGAGAAATTTAAAATATGAAATGAAGGAAATATAGGACCTTCGTATTCATCTACATTAGACGGAGATATCATCAATGATGATAATCAGAAGATTTACACTAGAATTTCCCACATTCTGTTGCTCATTATTTTTCCTTCCTGGTTGGTAAAAGACATATAGACCTATTACGTGCACGTGAATTGTCATATAACTTACATAGCCTCTTATTCAACGAGACAATTCATTGTATCAGGGGACCAAGCAGGTTAGTTTTAAATGAAAAGAGATATGTTTTTCCTGGATAAAGATAATAACAAGTTGCTGTCCTTCAAAAAAGGACTGCAATACGTGGACCATATGCATGTTTTTCTAAACGAAATTCAAAGAAAATTTCTAGATTTAGTGATTTTACAAAGGTGTAAATAAATTTAATTTTTTTACATGCATCTTGTAATTTTCATCGTTATTTAAGTCTGCTTAATTAGGCTGTAATGATAAAAAAAATCATAACCTTGAAATGATATGAATATGAAATTTTGATCTAGGTATCTATCAAATTGTAATGTAGCCTTTAAAATTAACAGCAGAATTAAAAGAGGCTTAAGCGTGCAGGTATCGTAATGGTTGAATTTTAACTTCATTGGCGGATCCAGGGAGAGGGTGTTGCGAGTGTTGGAACCCCCTTTATTTTTGCAGAGAGAGAGAGAAAGGTTTTTTCTGTAATATAGATATTTTTAGAATTTTCAATAAAATAAGTACTTAAATCTCTGCCCTTTCTGCTCTCTAGATAAAGTTTTGCTTATTGCTTTTTTCCTTGTACTTTCACAACCCCGGCCCCGGGCCTCGACCACCCACACGTAACATGAAAGATTTCACTTCGATATCATCGGAAGATTCCGGCGAACGTACATAGCTATTTTTGGACCATCTTCTGAAGTAACTAACTTTAAGAAATATGCATAAAAAGTCATGAAAGGGAGTATGCATAAGAGAATATTTATCTCCTTATATCATGGGGATATATCAATGATGAGAAAGGTTCAAAATGTCCCCGTGGTATGTGGGGGAGGGGGGCTCACTTTTCTTTAAAAAATCTTTTGTTATAATTTGAATATATAAGTTTTGATTTGCATTGGAAGCTCCCCCGCACTTTTTGTTGCGGGAAGTTTCAAAATACGGGAAAATCAAACATTTATAAGATATCAAAATGTACCGAAAAGTTAGACGAAGTCCCCCCCCCCCCCCAATAGGATTTTAAAGTATGGTGCACAGGTTGTTATTTTTATTTTATTTATTTATTTAATTTTTTTCCCTTGTCAACTCTTTTTGGAGGTTGCCCCCTTTGATAACCGTTGCCACGGGCTTGAATTTAAGTGCCCACGGTGTGACCTAGACCCCCCCTTTCAAAAACTGCTGGATCCGACCCTGTACTGGAGCACTATAGGGTCTCGGCACTAGAGGGTCTCGATTTATCTAAAGTGATGCTAGGTTATCGATAATAACACGATCAATTTAAAAACACAAAAAGATTAATCTTGTGTGTATATACGTAATTACCTGCAATCGTAACTTCTCGACAAAACAACGTGTTTTTCCGAGCTCTCCAGAAAGGTCTGCGAAGATGCGATTGACAATCTCATCGCACGTATGTAGACCTAGGCCGTTTGGTCTTGCAAGCACACTGTTTGTTAGTGACGCTTAGACTGGTGACAGTATCTGCTACGGACATGAAGAACTATACACCAGTTTCATAACATGTGCAGTTTTTTTTCTAGTGAAAATTGGAGTGAATTAAAAGTCGAAACTCTTGGATATGGGGTAACCCATATCTATTCTTGTTTCAACGACCGTCAATGTACATCCAGGGACGAGTTCATTCGTTATTACTCTGGAAGGTGGCATAGATTAACCTTCTACATTGATCTGCCTACTTTGAGTGATTGTACTTTCATAACAAAATTGTTAAATTTTATCCCCGACTGTATGGCCTATAGTTTTGTCATTAAAAAATCGGGCTATTTCGATACATGTAACCCATAACGGCTGGGACTTGACACTTGTATTAGATTTATACGGAAGATATTCTATCATTGGAAAGATAGATGGTACTCGTGTAGCACAGATCTGTAGTACGCAGATTTTTTTTTATGTTTTTCCCCCTCTCCCACATGGAAAAACGTTTCTACAGGCCTTTATCAAGCTATATTTGGATTGCTGTCTATCAAATTATTTTGCGAACCTTGATGCACAAAACTAATGCCGGTAAACATGATAAATACTACCTTTTAAAACCAAATAGTTGAATTAAGTGTATAAATCAACATGTTCAAGCTGTTTAGCTATCTATATTTATATTAAGTTCTTCCTACTTATTTAAATTGCTTGTACCATAGAATTTAGTTTGTATATACGGATATATGTATAAAAGAGAAATTCTGATCTTGGTTACGCCAAAAAATACATAAATACGATGTACAGATTTTAGAGCGAGGTTTGCCAATGATTGGAATATTCTAATCCGAAAAGGGCGAATTGTTATTTATAAGGGCAAATTGTCTTAGAGGCGAACTCTCTAGCATTCTCGCGTGCGTAGCCTGACGTAAGCCCATGGCATCCGGTTTAACCCCGCTTATATATTTTCTGCGTGGACCTCAGGGTCCACGCAATAATTGATCGATTGTTGTTGTTTAACGTCCAATTCGAGAATTTTTCACTCCTATGGAGACGTCACCATATACCGGAAAAGGGCTTCAAATTTAGACCTATTCAGCACTCAAAGCCATTGAGCAGTGAGGGATCTTTATCGTGCCAACGCTTGCCGTGTCACGGGGCCTCGTTTTTTTTAATGTCTCATCCAAAAGACCAGCAACTTTCACTTCAATGTGCCGAGTGCTTGGCGAAGGAAAGGTTGCTACCTTTTTTTCAACTTAAGTCACGCGGCCGGGCTTTGGACCCACGATCTGCCGATCAAAAAAATAGCATGTTCTGGCAGATAATCCTGTTTCTGGTCTTATTTTACATGTACTTGTTCTTATCACGGTATTTATAAATTATCAAATGTCATTTTGAATATCACATCACATATGGTGCAAAAGCCCAATCTTACCCGGTGTTTTGGAAAGATGCTATACGGCGAAAGAAGGTCATGATGCTTTGATCAAATACTTGAAAAAAAGCAAAGAGTATTATGTTAAATTACATGAAATATAATCTTAAATTGTGCTAGTTAATTAGATTCTCTATATGAGTTATGTATATTATTTTTCAAAATATCAATGATGCTGGAAGAAGTCGAACAATACGGAACTTTTTGTTCATTTGTTTGGTTTTTGTAAACCCATTTTCTTTTCCGAAAGACTGGATAATGTAAATCATTTCTATTGGTTGTTTACACAATTAACACAAAAAATCCTTAAAACTCGTAGAGTTATCAAAGCGTTGGGTATGAAATTATTAATAGTATTTAATAACTTCATATCAAATATCTATTTCAAGAATGTGTGCATCAAATGTTTTATTAGCAATATATTTTTAAGAATGTAGCTGATAACCGAATTCATTCAGAGAAACAATTACTGATATCATGATCGGAGTATATGAGAAACAGGCCAATAGGAAGCAACCCCACCCCCCACCCCCGAAAAAAAGCGCATCAGGCGTAATTATTGCGGGGACATATTCATAAAGTAGTTCAATTTTTATGGTATACTATTCATCGGCAAAATCCCCCCCCCCCCCGGGCCTAGGCCATGAGAAATTTTCAAAGAATCGAGTTTTTTTTAATGATAATCATTTCTTAATAATCAATAATTTGAATAGTCGTATACTCAACGTAGTCAGTAATTGTATAGTAATAAAACTCAATACATTTATTCTTTCAATATCCTTTCATTGAAATCTGTGTATTTAATTCTTAGATACTGGATGGCAAGAATGGAGCATATATCAGAAGCTATGTACTTTGGACTCTGGAGATTCTTAGGTACCAATGAAATGGTGGCCATGAGAAGAGATGTAATAGACTTACGAGATGTGATAGAAAACGAGTTAAGAAGTGACGGATACAGGCAAATGTTCAGTGGAAGTAGACGAGAGGGATTCAGGATGATGGAATCAGACATTGATATAATGTATTGGCCGACAGACCATAAACTTATTAGTAAATTATCTCAGGCTACGCATTACGAGTCCACAAACCATGCACTGATTCTGATGGAGAGTGATTACTGTCCACCAGGATTTGTTCTTCTCCGCTTACTCAATGACTCCAGGAGACAAGATGTCTTTTCGGCATGTATCAACATAAATGGCAAGTTATATATATCAAGCAGTAGACATCGGGAAGTCATGTGCTTTGGAAATGGGAAATCGGGATTTGTGCCCCATGGTCCATGTATAAGTGGAGCAGCTGGAATTTTTGAGTTTGACCAAGCATACTGTTTTATGTCTGATTTCTGGCCGATTCAAGCTTCGTCCTGGATAGGAAGATGTTTTAAACAGTTATGGCCGTCAATCACTACACTTAATAAAATTGTTAAAAATGGATGTCATGCTGTTGCAATCGGGAGTAAATCATCTCTCTATGAAAGCATCGAGTGGAGGATTTCATTTTCACAAGCAGAGCATAAACTCATATATTCCTTGAATCATTGCCAATTCTTATGTTACGGTTTACTTAAACTGTTTTTGAAAGAGGTGATAAACAACAATACACAAGATAAGTTACTGTGTTCATATCATATAAAGACAATATTGTTTTGGGTTATTCAAGAAAACTGCACACCTGTTTGGTGCCGGCAAAATTTCATTCAATGCTTCTGGACTTGTTTTGAAACTCTTTGCAAATACGTTTATCATGGTGTATGTCCCAACTTCTTTATCCCACAAAACAATATGTTTCGTGGGAAAATTCATGGCAATTCACAATTCAATCTGCATAACCATCTAATGAAAATCCACCGCAATGGACCTTTATGCTTATTGTTGTCCCCATCCATAGGGGGATTTTTACAGAAATTTGGTTCAATTTTGACCAGTCCCCTTCGCTTTGAAGTTACTCTTCCCCTAGCTGTATTTGACGATGAATACTTCACTGAACTATTCTTTGCAACACTGTTGCAAGTTACAGATTTTAACATCTCTATTAAGTGTTACGAAACAATGGAGAACATGCTTCGAAAGAAAAATAATCTTACAATATATCAGAAAAACTTTCTTCAAATTTGTTTATCCGAATGCTTTCAATACAATGCTTTTATGATTAAAGCTTGTTTAAAAGATGGCTGTAACAGAATTAAATACAAGTACGATAAAATATCTTGTAGCCTTTTGAAGCTGGCAGGAAAATTAGGATTTCTATCTACGATTCTATACGTTGCACTTTTTCATTATGCGACGCACAGATACACGGAGGCTGTGCGAGTCTTAGAGGATTTAAAGACTAAAATGTCACAATCTTCTTTACTGTATCATAAATCTGTGGACACAAGAGCTTACGAGGAAGCAGTAAAGGGACTGCCGTGGTCTGTAAGGATAAGAAAGAATGCAGTTGCGGTACTTAAGTTTGATAATAACCTTTTCTATATGGAAGAACTTAGGCTAGAACAGAAGATATGTCTGAAGAATCACATGCCTGGATTATTTATACCTCCATTTGTCATGCTTCACTTCTTATTAGTGCTTTGCTATCGTAAGGCAAATCCAGGAAAAGCATCGTCTGCTCTCGATGACCTTTCTGTTCTAGTTCACTATGATGAGAATCGGTTAGTGCTTAAGGAATTAAGAGATATTTCCTGGCAGATCCTTGGCATCTGTCAACAGATATCCGGTCATTTTGAGGATGCTCTCTTCTCTTATAACAAAGTTTTTGAACAAATTCCAGTTCACAAAATACATGAAGCAGCGAAGATTAGAATTGGTAGATTCAATCAAAACAATGTTTATGAATTCTAATCTAGTGTTTTACAATATGAAATGTTCAAATTCACCAGCATTGTGCAAAAAAAATATGAAATGGGTATTACTGAATATTGCTGGAATTTTTCGTGGATAAATGTTTTCCATCAGTCTAAGATGTTAGTTAACAGTGGTATTTATTCAAAATGTTTAATAATCTTGTACATTCCAAACATTTCTGTTAATTTTATTCTCATTCGCCCCGTTCTTGAATCAGTTCTTCGTTCTATTTAATGTTAAACTTGATGAATGATCCCAATTAATAAAAACTTGATCACAGTCATGTGAACATAAACATGTAATTTTTTTTTTTATCTTTTTAAATGTCTAAATAAACATAATGAACTTATGTGCAGAAATGAATGTCAATAAACTTATAAAGATATTTCAAACTTCTTTCCTGTGTTCTTTTTATGCACCATTACATCATCATTTTGAATAAAATGTCTAGTTTTAGGTCACCTGAATCACTCAGGTGACAAATTGCTATCTGTGTCTTTGCACACAGGTGACAAACTTCTCGCCTTCCACATGGTCAGTAACTTCTTCTTCGTCATGAGTTGACCAGGAATCCATATTCTTAAGACGAAAACAGGGATTAAAACATTAAAAAAAACCTTTCAGTTGAACCCCCCTTTGATGCCAAACCTTTACAAACCGTTAGGCACATTTGAATTAGACTACAAATTTTATATTTCTTACAGAAATAAAGGTTTTTATAAGTAAAAATGTCTACAAATTATGGAATTTTTTTATTAACTTATCATCCTTAAATGGGCTTTTAACCTCCATTTTTTTTATTTTAAAGAGCACAGAAACCAAGAGTTTTTTCCAGTCTGCTGAACTGTCCCGATGTGATAGCAAAATTCGTAATGCTTTCAAACTATATGCACACAGGTTGAAAGTTAATACATTCTTTCAACCTGTGTGCATATAGTTTGGCCCCTAAGAATTCATTAGGAAAGAATCTTTACAAGCATACTTTGCTTCTGCAAAAAAAAAAAAAAAAAAAAAAAAAAAAAAAAAAAAAATTATACATAAACGAAATTCCACATATGTACCTTTGCAAGGTGACAACGTCGTCTTCAGTTTCTGGAAGATGTCTTGAATATCAATAGATAATCATGTTTTTTTTCATTGCCTTAATACATAGTCAGCACATGTTTGTCGGCTGTTCATAAGAAAACTCTAGTTGTATATAGAACAAATTAAATAGGGTCATATGTTATGGTTATAAGCCTAAAACTGTCCATTTTGTCCGATATTAGACTGTTCAAGGAGCATGCGAAGGTGAGAAATATGTTCAAATAATCTTTTCTGAAGATTGTATCAAAATTGTTGGTCTATCGACATTTTTTGGTACTTGAAACCATGGTAACTCCAACTTTTCTGCGCATGCGTACAATAAGGAGGAAGAAGTAAAGCAATAGTTTCATCTTGGGCTATACAAAAAAAAATCTCCATAAAGTTGATTTTTTAGGCTTCGAAAGCTGTAATTTTCTTTCAGGAATTGAACAAAATTTGCATGGGTCATGCAAACATTCCCTGTCAATTTTCCAGTTTATACGTAACGGTATAGCTTTATCTTACTGTACAGTTACAGGTAAACGGATCTCGTTCTGCTTGGATGATTTACTTGTATGAAACATGGCTATTATTCCTACTATTGAAAAACTACAGAAGAAAATCAAAAAATGGTTTTCTTTGGCCTATCTTAATGAACAGTGCCGGGTAAATCATCTACGTATTTTAATGTAAAACTTGGCTCCTATTGTGGCCCCATCCTACCCCCGGGGTCATGATTTGAGCAATTAAGAATCTACACTACCCCAGGATGCTTCCACATAAGATTCAGCTTTTCTGGCCTAATGGCTCTTGAAAAGACTTTTTAATGACCCCACCCTATTGTTTTTCTTTTCTTGATTATCTCCATTTGGAAGGGGGTTTGGTCCCTCTTTTTAAAAAATTTAAACTCCCTTCACCCAAGAATTTTGTACCAATTTTGGTTTAAATTGGCCCAGTGGTTCTTGAGAAGAAGTTGAAAATGTGAAAAGTCTACAGACGGACGGACGATGGACAAGGGGTGGTCAGAAAAGTTAACTAGAGCTTTCAGCTCGGGTGAGCTAAAAAGATTTTGAAGAGCTAAAAAGGGATGCCAAAGACTAGAGCCAAATATTTCGAACGATCAGAGCTATGCATGAGGAGATAATCCTTAATTTTAAAATATATTTCTAAATTTTACTACAGCAATTAGATATATATACGTATTTACAAGCTAGTACCGAAGTACTTAGTTACTGGGCTGTAGAGACCCTCGGGGACTAACAATCCGCCAGCGGAGACATAGACCCTGGGGTTAAATGTAAATCATATACGGAACCAATTTTGATGCACAAGATGCGCATTTCAACAAATGATGCTCATACCGAAACGCTGGAAATCCGAAATGTTTAAATAAAAAAGACTTTGAAGAGCTGAAAAAAGATGCCAAAGACTAGTGCCAAATACTTTGAAGGATTACAGCTATTTATATCGATAAAATTAGCATTAATTTTGTTTAGTCTTATTTATCCACATTGCGACAATTTTATACATGTATATACTATGCATGCGTAAAAGTAAATTATGTTAAATGACGATTTATTAGGGCCCCGCTCTGAGGGTGCCCTATAGTGATCAGTCTGTCCATCCGTCCGTCCGTCTGAGATCTCTTGTCCGGAACATATCTTCTCTCTCCTTGGCCCAATCTGGCTCATACTTCACCCACAGAGTGTCCTTGGGTAAAGGGTGTGCAGTGACCTTGAACCATGTTTCTAAGTCTAAGATCAAGGTCATAGCAGAATTATATGAAAAATCCTTGTCCGGAGCATTTCCTCTTGATCCAATGTGGCTCATACTTCACTCACAGAGTGCCGCTGGTCAATGGATCTGCAGTGACCTTGAATGAAGTTTTTAGGTCAAGGGTCAAGGTCAAAAATAGCCTCTCTATTTAAATCCTTGTCCGAAGCATATCTTCTCTCTTCTTGGCCCAATCTGGCTCATACTTCACCCACAGAGTGTCCTTGGGTAAAGGGTGTGCAGTGACATTGAACCATGTTTCTAGGTCTAAGGTCAAGGTCATAGCAGAATTATATGAAAAGTCATTGTCCAGATCATAACTTTTCTCCCCTTGGTCCAATGTGGCTCATACTTCACTCACAGAGTGCCACTTGTCAGTGGATGTGCAGTGACCTTGAACGAAGTTTCTAGGTCAAGGGTCAATTTCAAAAATAGCCTCTCTGTTTAAAAATCTTTGTTCGGTGCATAATTTCTTTCCCTTAAGTCCAGTCAGCCTCAAACCTTACCAACTGACTTAGGGTACGGATCATTTGTGATTTTCCTTCCATATTTCTGATAGAGGATATGCAACAATTTTCATAGAGGATATGCAGCATTCGTGATTTTTGTGCTGTTTTTTGATGGAAGGTGTTGAGCACTTGTGATTTTCGTGCCATTTTTTATTATATCGAGGATAACATAGAAGCCCTTTAGACTCAAACAACACATCCCTTAATAGTACACATATGTTTCTCTTCCAAATAAACCCTTTTCAGCTACCTTACATTTCCATGTTCATTGCTGAAAGCGGGGCCCTTTGAGATGGCCACCATCTCAATGATATCTAGTTCATTTTACAACGCAGCACCACGGATGACGGCGTACATTAAAAAAAAGACTTCTTCAGATTCAGGTATTAATCGAGACCATGAAAATGCTTGCAAACTTCAGCTTAAAGTTTTCTATGTAATCCGGATATAGTCTAATATTTCGGAGTTTGAAAGAAACAGTTCCTCCATTGTTTAAAGCAACACGATTTGAAGGATTTACTCCAACCATTCTTTAAGCTTGATTTTTGTTTTCTTCTGATGAAATTGGAGGGTTATTTCATATATTTTTTTTTTAATTTGCAACAGGCAGTTTCTCCATTGTGCGCCGGTGAAACGATGAAAAGTGCCCCCCCCCCCTTAGAAAATTGAATGGGGGGTCCAATTTCTACGTAGAAAAGACCCCCGGTCAATTTTTTACCACAAGTAGGGTCATTTTTCGACCGTAGAAAATCTGTGAATACGGATATTGCAAATCATAGGCTTTTTAAACCGCCACATTTTACGGAACAAAATACTGCTCAAACAACCCGTTTTGCCTTAAACTTGATCAATGTGCCAACAAACGAATTGACGCAGTTAATATAAGTAACATTCTTAATCTCAAAAGGGTCCAGTCTTGTATTCCACTATATACTTCAAGTTGAAGTACACACCTTCTATTTCTTAAAAATATACATCAACTATTGCTACCAAAGTTTTTAATTACAAAATAAATCCGCAGTGCTTGGATGTCGAACATCTGAAACACAATCCTCCAACGTGCTCATGTTCTTCTTCACCCTACAACTATAGCCTGCTGGACACGTCATTACTGGTGACGTAAATATAGTTAACATTGAGGACCTTAAATCACTTATTTTAAAAGAGCTAAAATTTAGGGAACCCCGATCTTTCAACTGGCGACATAATTTCATAAATATTATGAATTCCGTGAAAGATTATGCCAGGCGATGGACCAAACTTGAGAAAGAAGACCTTGACACTTTGTCAGAATGGATTAAAGTATCAGATGAGTGTTAAAATCTCGCATTAAGCAATTGAGGGGCAATATGAAAACCATCTATCCTTATGTTTTCATTAATTCAGAAGTGAAAAAAGAATAAGAATACACGATCAGTATGAACTGGGCTCAGCTAATAAAGCAGGTAACAACATTGTTTTTATTTGTAGGGCTCATTATTTTAATTGTATTTAAGAGGAACTAGGATAGTATTTAATTCTACTAGCAGTAATCCACGTGTACCAATAGCTCCCTTTCTATGGAGGAAATTCTTCAAAATCTTGTCAGTTTTAAATATTTTCAATATTCCCAACAATCAAAATGAATTTGAGGTACCATACCTATAATGGATTCCTAAACTTCATAAATATCCCTACAAACATAGATATATAGTGGGTTCCGGTAAATGTTCTACCAAGCCTCTTTCTTTACTCCTCACTAAAAAATAATAACAGCAGTGGAGAAACTTCAGGAGTAGTGTACAACAGTATATTCGAGAAGTGGTGTAAATCAGATGTGGATACTTAAAAACTCCAAGGAACTTTTAGAAAATTTGAAATCACAGAATTTTACCAAAATCAATAACATGAAACGTACTTCTCAACATTTTATACAACCATCCCGCACAAAAAATTCAGGATTTCTATATTATATACAGCTGCTTTTTTCAATAAAAATGGAACTCGTAAATATACATACCTTGCATTGGTCATTTGCAAAATTATTTTGTTAAAAACATTCGGATTGTACACACAAGTACTTTGGAGTTGTTATTAAAAAGATGCTTGAGTTTCTGATTGACAATATCTATGTACTTTTTGGAGATCTGTCGGTATTCTTATGAGTACCTATTTTGCCCGCAAGCAGACCTATTTTTGTATTCATATGAAGCAGAATTTATTCAAAAACTATGACGAAACACTTGTTGTGGCCTTCAACTCGACATTTAGATACCGTATATCGACGACGAATTATCAATTATCTCGATATACATGTAATCCCAGTGAATTTGAAATAAAAGATACCAGAGAGTCTGACACATCTGTTTCATATTTGGATGTTTTACTAGAAAAAGATGTTAATGGTAACCTAACAACAAAACTTTATGATAAAAGTGATGACTTCAACTTTTCTATCGCCAACTTCCCTTACTTATGTACATGTAGCAATATACCCTTATCACCTGCATATCGGGTTTATGTTTCCCAGTTGATTTGATACGCAAGAGCATGCTCTACGTACGAAAAGTTTCTTAACCGAGGCAATGCACTGACAAACAAGTTGATGAAACAAGAATATCAACATTCTCATTTGAAGTCATCATTTTGTAAGTTCTATGGCCGATACAATGACCTTGACAGCAAATACACATTACAACCTATCATTAAGTCGAACGCTGACTGGCGTTTTTAATGCTAATTGATAGGCCATTGTTATTATTATACTAGGGGTTAAAAATTTAGTACGAAACAAGTGCCTGTGTTACTCCTCCGTGGCACCTGATCCCAACTCTTATATTTTTTGAGGTTCGTTTTGTTCTGCTCCCGATTTGTATTGTTTCTATGGACCTTTGAGCTTGATTACTGTTCGTTATCTCCATATTTGGTTACCCAAAGTAAAATCAAAGAGGATTACAGTTATGGAAACTTTACATTTTTTATTCATATAAGTTTCCCTTTCTGACACCAGCTAAGAAAATGATTTTGTTTTTTTAAATAATGACAACTGTGGAAACTTATTTTATAAAACGTTATTATAAAACAAAAAAAAATCTTATCATTTGAACAACTTGAATTCCCTCTACCCAAGGATACTCTGAGTCAAGTTTGGTTGAAATTGGCCCAGTGGTAATGAAAAAGTGGATGAAAATGTGAAAAGTTTACGACGACGACAACAACGACAGACAACAGATTTTGATCAGAAAAGCTCACTCGAGTCCTGGGCTCAGGTGAGCTAAAATGGTTGCTCTCTTTCTTTAGAGGTAAAATGTTACCAATTTTTGTTTCTACCTCAGACATAAGCTGTTCTTTCCCTTGTAGCAATTGAAATGACAAAATGTTTACTATCTCATATAATTTTACTATATTCTAATATGTCTGCAGGCTTCTACTATCAATGTTTTTAATAAATTATCAATAGCTGCATTTTCTTAGTTTACTGAGACTCTTTACTGATGATGTTGATAAACTCTGTTATAGTTCTGGTTGGTCGTCCTGAAAATAAATATTATCATTTATTCATGTTACATAAACAAAATAAAAAAAAAAATTCTGTATACTTTTTAGAAATATGTCAAAGACACAGTGAATCCCCATGTATACAATATGCTTTTTTTTATCGAAATATGTAAATTAATGATAATGTAATTACAGTTTTAAAAATTGAAGCCTGTGTTTTATTTCCTGTTTGGAGAAAATATGTCATCTTCAATCCTTTTTGCATTCAACTACATTCTTTCAAAGATTGCTTACATCTATGAATTTTGTACATACCTGACATGCCCTTTCCAAGATATGATACATCTCCTTCGTTTGACATAATCCCTGCAATATCTATATGTAGCCAGTTCTTGTTGGTCACAAATTCCTTAAAAAGATTGTACGATGTTATTGCAGTTTTGTTTTTAATTAAATCATATGCATAAGTAGGTCAAAAGTCCAAATATAAAACTTTCAGAGAAGGGTAGAGAAAAAATATTTACTCAATAAAATCTGAAGGAATTATTATTGATAGGAATAATGTCCGTCCATCTGTAAACTTTTCACATTTTTGACTTCTTCTCCAGAACCACTGGGCCAATTTCAACCAAACTTGCCATGAAGCATCCTTGGGTAAAGGGGATTCAAGTTTGTTCAAATGGAGGGCCACACCCTCTTTCAAGGGGAAATAATGGCATCATTTAAAAATCTTCTCAAGAACCACTGGGCCAGGAAAGATGAAACTTATGTTTCCTCAGGTAGTGTAGATTCAAATTTGTTCAAATCATGACCCCCGGGGGTAGGGTGGGGCCACAATGGGGGATCAAAGTTTTACATAGAAATATATAGGAAAATATCTTTAAAAATCTTCTTCTTCAGAACAGCAAAGCCATGATTGGTCATATTTATACGGAAGCATCCTCAGGTAGTGTAGATTCAAATTTGTTCAAACCATGACCCCCGGGGGTAGGGTGGGGCCACAATGGGGGATCAAAGTTTTACATAGAAATATATTGGAAAATATCTTTAAAAATCTTCTTCTTAAGAACAGCAAAGCCATGATTGGTCATATTTATATGGAAGCATCCTCAGGTAGTGTAGATTCAAGTTTGTTCAAGTCATGACATCCCCCCCCCCCCCCCCCCCCCCCCGATAGGATGGGGTCACAATGGGGGATCAAAGTTTACAGAGCATTATATAGGAAAAAATCTTTTTCTCAAGAACAGAGAAGCCATGATTAGTCAAATTAATATGGAGGCATCCTTGGGAGTGTAGAATGAAATTTGTTCAAATGAGGGCCCCCGGAGGTAGAGTGGGGCCACAATGGGGGATCAAAGTCTTACAAATGAATATATGGGAAAAAAATCTGCTGCTCAAGAACAGCAAAGCCATTTTTTATAGTGATATGAAAGCATCATTAGGTAGTTTAAAATTCACCCCCCCCCCCCACCCCCGTAAACTTTTCAATACTGAACTGATTTTTGCTTAATTTTCCTAGCCAATCTGCTCAGGTAAGCGATGTGCCTCTTGTTAACATAAAATGCATGTCTTGGTGCCAAAACTTGGTCCCTACCCTATGTTTGCATATCCTTTTTTTTTCCAATTGCAAAATATTCACCTTACATAACATATGGAATTGAAGCAAATACACTTTATTGACAAATTATAATTGATCTATTCTTTAATCAGCTTAATTAGTATAGCCTTACAAACCTTGAGAAAAGCTGCTGCTGTGCAGGCACCAGCTGACCTCGAGCCTCCAATGTTATTCAGGTCAGCTAGCTGACATTTTGTTATTTTCTTGGTATAGTGATTAAACAATGGCATTCTCCATACTCTGTCCCCTGTCTTTATGCTGGCCTGGATATAAAACACATGAGGGCATTTACAATTTAAATAATGCATATTATTTTGATGAACATGAACAAATTATACCAAAAACCTTTCTACTTACAATGTACTGTGTCAAACTAGATTATGTTCACTTGTGCATGTACAAGTAAACTTACAAAGAATTTTATTTTATTGTTTTTTACTAGGATAATTGCTTTTATCAGACATTCTACGATAAATGGACCAATTCAGAGTAAAAAACATGAAAAAAATAATTGTTTCAAATAGCAAAATGAACATCATAATTCTCTAAAGGACATACCAGTGAACTTGAAAACAAAGAATTGTCCACAAATCTGGTATCGTTAACTTTTTACAACAATTTCAAGATACCATTGATTTTAATGTAATGTTACGGAAGTTAATGCTTGATCAAGCCTTATTATTTTTTAAATAAAGCTGAATTTGACAAATTTTTCGTTTCTGATGTTCAGTAAAGAACGCTAAAGTATGATTCATGAAATCTTGCATGAATCCGAATTTAAATTAAATTTTCGGGAAAAATATCGTTACGGAAGTTAATTCCCAGCAATAAAAGTTAAAATTCTCTTCAATAGTTAAAATCAAAGTTTGTTTTAGGATATTAAAGAAAAGTATAAAGCATTTTGCCCCCAAAATAATAAAAAAAATTTATACCTTTAATGCAAAAACTTTCCTGAATTACCGTTACGGAAGTTAAATTTTTAAGAGAGACAACTGTTTTTGTTTAATTCATTTTTTATCTCGAAAATGTAATCGTCTAAAATAGCTGTCTCGCAACTAGAATTGATGATATAAGGTTCCTTGGTCACTTTCAGATAAGTTTCAGTTCTTTTTGAAATCTGCATTCTTTGCGTGAAAGGAGATGGGTGAACATGACGAGAGATAAGCCTACAGTGTGACAAACATGAAGATGAAAATTAAATTTCAATTATATCAAAATTTTCCTTGATATTTCGTCTAACATTAAAATATACTTTATGTAAAATCTCTACAATTTGCAAATATCCCTCAAAGATTGAAATTGAAATATTTCCCTGTGAAATATTAGACACACACTAAAGCGGGCAAAAAGAGTCATTTTCTCATACTATAACACTATTTTTCGATATGAGTGGGTCTTCGCTCCACCTTTTTGAAAGTTAATCCTCAAAGTTTGCATAAAAATATACACTTTTTGGTTATCAAAAATATGGAGCAATGACCCACTTTACCTTAAAAATATACTTTTATGACATAACATTCGCATCTTTTCAAGAAATACTTGAAGTCCCTTAAGTCAAGGGTCATATCACAAGCATGATTTAAATACCACTGTTCGTCAGGCCCTGTGTAGTCTAGTGGTTAGCCTGCTAGTCTCGAAAGAAAATGATACTCAGGATTTTTATTGCTAGGGTTCGAACCCCACGAATACCACATTAATTTTTTTAATAAAAGAATAAATTTTGCCGAGAAAATTTTCCTCAGAAAAGTTTTGTTTATCACAATTTCATAAATTTCAATAATGAGAACTTTACTCTAAATATTAAATTCACAAACTGAACATGATTTTTATATTTCTGATGCTATAGGCTTTCTGCACGCTATGTTCGCCCATCTCCTTAAAAATAAAATTGTTACGGAAGTTAATCGATTTTTAGCAACATGCTTATGAATTCGCATGAAAGGAGATCTATGCATTTCTTTGCAAGAAATGGTTTGATTTCTTTTTATATAGGATAAAAGACATTTTTTAATATTCTTTGCAATCTATTCGGAACGATTTTATGGCTGAAAATTTCATCTTGAAATTTAAAAATAAATGAAGTGACATTAAGATTTGCAGTGGAATACGTTTTTCAACATTACATTATGTTCATATCAAAACTTTAACTACATATATATCAGTGAATATTTACAAAACCATGTGTGTATGTTAAGTCTTAGAGTTGAAATCGACCTTTAAATTTATAGTTAAGATATTACAACGGTAAATTTGTAAGCGACATAAAAAATTCTTAATTGGTCATGTTTTTGTAGAATGACTGTTATATCAAAATTGTGACAGGAACTATTCACTGAGGGCTTGCCCGAGAGGAATCAATAGTTTCTTTCAAGGGTTTGATGAAAGATCTATTCCACTCACAGCCAGTGGATAAGCATTTTATTATACTGATGTACATATTACACATGTAATACCTAAGGGTTGGAAAGCATTTAGTATAGCTTTAGGGAACTCTTCAGTTTTGGAGAAGCTGCAAACCAAGCACATTGAAGGAAATTAAAATTTGACAGATGTGGATAATATACAGTTATGGAATTAGTATGAAGGAAATAGCAAATTTATAGTTCCCTGAGGATAATAGTTACCTGCTGAGGGGCACATAAATTTGCTATTTCCTAAGTACCCATTCCAAAACTGTTTTATCATACCAAAACAATCTAAGGAGATTTATTATACCAGATACTCAGACATTTTTAGACAATATAGAGGTATTCAAATAATCACGAATACATGTAATTAAAATTTTGTTTGATATTTAATGCATCAATGCCTAAAAAAAATTATAACATGTTTAAAAAATAAAAATAATTATTTCACAGATATTTTAAATTTTGTTTCATATCTAATGTGCCAATACCCAAAAAAAATTATAACATGTTAAAAAAATAAAATAACGTCACAAATATTTTAAAGAATTATCGTGCTCATCATTTTGCTATAATTACAGTATGATTTTGACATCCCATGTAGAAATGTTTTGACGTCATAGTTACATTTCTAATAATATAATGTCACAGACTGAAGATTCCCTAAATGCTCCGCCCACTGAGCATTATGATTGGTTAAAAATATTAATGAATATTAATGAGAGAGTAGTCCCAGGGCATAGCTCTGATTTCACAGGAAGTAGTCCTCGGAGGAAGTAATGCCTTCTCAGGGAAAAGAAAGTTTTATGGCAGTTTTATGGAAGTACTAGAGGTATAATAACACATTTCATATACCTTGGTATAACTTAGCTATTCATGAAAATTTCAAGACTATAAAAAATAGATTTTTACCTTCCAAACTTCATATAGGAAACATTTTAACAGAAGTTTCATGAACAATATTGTAGACATACATATTCAAAGACCACTTATCTCTTTAAGAGAATTAATAACAGAATGATTCTTATATGTGAGATAAAAAAAAACAAGAGGCCCATGGGCCACATCGCTCACCTGAGTAACTTAATTTGGCCATGCTGTTCTTTACCAGATTTCCCCCCTTGTAATACCTATTGTGGCCCCGCCCTACCCCCAGGGGTCATAATTTGAACAATTTACAATCTACACTACCCCAGGATGCTTCCACATAAGTTTCAGCTTTTCTGGTCTAGTGGTTCTTGAGAAGAGGATTTTTAAAGTTTTTTCCTATATATTTCAATGTAAAACTTGGATTCCCTATTGTGGCCCCGTCCTACCCCCCGGGGTTCATGATTTGAACAATTTACAATCTACACTACCCGAGGATGCTTCCACGTAAGTTTCAGTTATTCTGGCCCAGTTGTTCTTGAGAAGAAGATTTTTAAAGATTTTTCTTATATATTTCAAAGTAGAACTTGGATTCCCTATTGTGGCCAAGCCCTACCCCCGGGGGTCATGATTTGAACAATTTACAATCTACACTACCAGAGGATGCTTCCATGTAAGTTTCAGTTTTTCTGGCCAAATGGTTCTTGAGAAGAAGATTTTTAAAGATTTTTCCTATATATTTCAATGTAGAACTTGGATTCCCTATTGTGGCCCCGCCCTACCCCCGGGGGTCATGATTTTAACAATTTACAATCTACACTATCTGAGGATGCTTCCACATAAGTTTCAGCTTTTCTGGCCCAGTGGTTCTTGAGAAGAAGATTTTTAAAGATTTTTCTTATATATTTCAATGTAAAACTTGGATTCCCTATTGTGGCCCCGCCCTACCCCGGGGGTCATGATTTTAACAATTTAGAATCTACACTATCCCAGAATGTTTCCACATAAGTTTCAGCTTTTCTGGCCCAGTGGTTCTTGAGAAGATTTTTTAATGACCCCACCCTATTTTTGTCTTTTCTTTTGTCTTTTCTTGATTATCTCCCCTTGTAAGGGGACTTGGCCCTTTATTTTTAAAATTTAAACTCCCCTTTGCCCAAGGATACTTTGTGCCAAGTTTGGTTACAATTGGCCCAGTGGTTCTTGAGAAGAAGTTGAAAATGTGAAAAGTTTACAGACGGACGAACAGACGGACGACAGACAATGGGCTTTCAGCTCAGGTGAGCTAAAAAGACTTGAATTTCAAAAGTACTAGAATAATTTCCAACTCTCATACTTTAACTCAACACAATTCCTCTGCTTTTAGTTTCAAAACAGATAATTTTATTGAAACACCTTTTACCTTTTGAAGTTTGTCCCACATGGTTGCGGAGTTTGTAAACACACCAGCTGCACCTGCTCCAAGGGCTACATCTATAGCACCTGTAAACAATATATATATATATATATATATATATATATATATATATATATATATATATATATATATATATATATATATATATATATAGTTAAAATAAAGAAGAAAAACACAAAAAACCTCAGTAAAGCTTTAGGCCTTTAACTCTATCTTCTGGAGCTTTACAATATATATATATATATATATATATATATATATATATATATATATATATATATATATATATATATATATATATATACTAGACAAAATTGCTAACGCACCACTTATTATTCTTATTTGTGAATTGATCACTTTCCTGACTGGTACTAGTATATAAAATATGCCATAATGGCTGTTTATCCTTCAAAGTAACAGACATGATTCCTTCTAAACTACATGTAATTATAGACCCATATTATTACAACCATTTGTAACTATATACATGTATATAAATATGAAACAAGTATCAGAGGTCAACTATTACATGGCTCTTCCATAAATGTAAAATAGGGATGGATAATCCAAATATTTTAAGGAACTTTTACTATTTAATTCAAATAAATTTAAGAAAGATGCAAACAATAAAATGTCAGTATTTGTATTGTTTCAAGGGATGTCATGATTATACAGTTAGTTAATGCAGAAAAAGTAATGTAACAAGCTTATTAGGTGGCTTACAAATTCATGTCATTGGTTTACAGTACAGACATAAATAATAAATGTATTTCTATGTCTCTGTTTACATTCATATTGGATACAGTCCCTGAAACGTTCTACTTTCCCATTTTTCCGTTCGCTCACCGTTTGTTCACCGTGCGTTCACCATTTGCTCTCCGTTTACGTTTGCGTTCAGCGTTCACTGTGCGCTCACGTTCACCGTTCACAAGCGTTCAGCGTTCGCTCTCCGTTCGTTCACTTTGCGTTCACCTTGCATTCAGCGTTCACTTATCGTTCAGTCTTCACTGTCATTCGGAACTCCGAAGTTAAACGACGTACTTATCGTTTTGTAAGTAAGGATTTACACATTTTTAAATTTAATAATTAACATATCGTGTTTAAAGAATCATTATTTCATCGAAATTACCCACAATATTCTAACTTAATATATTTATTATTCTAATTTAGCTTGTAGGTTTTTTTTTATTTTACTCTGGGAAATGTTGTTATAAGTATGTACAGTACCTATGTACATATGTAGAACGATGCTGAAAAATTAGATAGGGGCAATATACAGATACTTCAAGCACTGCAACATTTTGTTGTTATGTTAAAGTCGACAAATTCTTCATGGAGAGATAATTATCCAAGTCAATTAATTTACAAACTGCAGCAAACTTACGGAAATAATTATTTCTAACACGTTTTTTTTTTCTCCAATTACTACAGAAATACATGATAGAACTAGTTCTGAGAATTATACATAGTACTGCGGATATCCAGTTAATTAAACATCTTTGGAGCGAATTAAATTGATAGTGTGGTTAAACAAATATTTATTTAAAATGTAATACATTACAGAATTTTTCTACTTTTTACGTATATAAAGTTTATTGTTATAGAAAAAAACAAATTCTTCCCCCACCGCAATCTTATATGTTTGCCATTCGATATAATTAAGAGCCCCCTTACCCAAATAGGATACTTATTCAGTATTTCCTGTATATTTTAATAAACATTTAAAAAGAAGTTAATGTATTTTGTAGCACAAGAAAGTCAGTCTCAAAACATACATACATCTTAAAATGTCATTAAACAGTAGTAGATCAAAATATACACGTGCCGGCAGTGGTGTTTCAAACTGACAGGGAGTATGTTTCTAATTAACACCCAGTGTATTTATTTATTAATTAATTTTAGAAATCTAGAAATGATAAAAAATAAATGTTAAAACTTGTTGGGAATACTAGCACTTTGCCTTCGGTGTGACGAGACTTTCACACCTGCACAGTATCGAATGATTTTGACTGACAGGACAAGCACTGGACTTCGATCATGTGAACTTGAAGCAGGAAAATAAAAACCAATTATGACTGGGAAACAAATGGATTTGTTAAAAAATTTACTTTCACTGCCTGACCATGATATATATAGAAAAAATTTAAGAATTTTTGTTTGATATAGTTACATACATTTGGCGAAGCCTGAAAAAGGGGGGGGGGGGAGGGCTAAAACGGAATCTCTCTCTCCCTCTCTCTCTCTCTCTCTTTAAATATCAAGTTCTTAAAATTTAATCTATAACAGATAATAAGAATATGCCTCTTTGTATTATCTTGACCAAGTATAATCACAGGGAAATGTCTACAGATACATGTACATGTAGAAGTCTGCTCAATAAATCACCATAAAAATAGAAAATACACATAAATATATTATTGCATTAAAAATTTAAAATACGAGTGTATTAATGCAATACGTCCACGGACCTTTGTAAATTTTTTTTTATTATTATAATTTTACATGAAATCGCCTTGGCACAGAAAAATATGTATGGATGTAACAACTGTTGTAATTTATTCTACAAGTCAAAAGATTTCTCTTACATGTATTTGTAATGGTTTTATACATCAAATAAGAATAAACATATTTATTTTATAACTTAAATAATTTTATCTTTTATACTACAGCGTTCAGTAACAATTACAATGCTTTACAGCGATAAAAATCGTACATGTGATTAAATAATTGAATTTAAACACCATTCACATAAGAAACTTAAATTAATAGTTTTTCTTAATTAATGTACATGTATCACCTTTCTTAAGACAATTTTGGAACATTTATTTATTTATTTATTTATTTATTTATTTATTTATTCATTGATTTATTAATTTAATTATTATCTATTTATTTATTTTTTTGGCACCTGACAATAGAAGACAATAGAATAGTTTCAATGCAAGGAAAAGATCAGAGACATTCCGAATAAATCGTTCATCTTGCGTTCACCGTTCATTCACCGTTCACTTTGCGCTTGCGTTTGCACTCCGTTCGCGTTCTGCATTCGCTCACCGTTCACCAATCGTTCACCAAGTTGCGTTCAGCTTCACACATCGTTCGCTCTGTGTTCGTTCAGCGTTCGTTCAGCGTTCGCTCACCGATCAAGTGGGAAAGTAAAACATTTAAGGGACTGAATTAATATTGTAACAGACATTTCCTCAAAAGACCAAAATTCTGGTTATTTAATTAGTTCTGTAGTATGCATGGAATTCTGAATATATAGCTACATATTAAACACTGTAAATAAATCTTAGATGACTATTTTTTAATGGTTTTGAAGAACAAATACTGTATACCTGTTAATGTTGCCATGTCTAAGATCAATGAAGGATTAAACTGTTCACTGTAACATAATGCATCAGCTAAGATTAGTCTCCCCTCAGCATCTGTGTTGTCTACCTACAAATGTAATCAGAAAAAGTGACATACTTTTAACCTTATACCTTTAAGTTACCTTATACCTTTTAACATACCTTGAAAGGTGCATGAACATGTAATTTATGTGAGAGAGAAAGAGGGGCCGGGAAAAAGATTGATTTGAAAACACTTTTAAAATAAACCTGTATAGTTTTTCCATTCATGGCTGTGACAACATCACCAGGCTTGGTAGCAGATCCACTTGGCATATTCTCACACAGAGGGATGAATGCTACAGGGAAAAAAATCTTTGTCAATATTAAGGGAAAAAATCAAAGATGCATGTATTAATTAATCAAATATTATTTAGTTAAATAAGTTGAACAAAAAGTTTACTTGGTATACAAAATTATTGACAGAATTTTCAACTCTATGATTAGAATGGGTACAACTGAAATTTGCCTCACTTTTGTACAAATGACTGTTTATACCTTTAATATAAACAGGGAGCTCTAATCTACTAATACTGTGGAGAGTACCAGCCACACAAGCAGCCCCACCCATGTCTCCTCTCATGGCATCCATTCCCTGTGAGGGCTTTATAGAGATTCCACCACTGGAAAGTCAAACTTTAAAGATTATATAATAAAGACAGTTTGTTTGCATGTTATTAAAAATTCATACCAGATAAACATGCATGTGCATGCAAGATTTTTTTCTTCAGATTTTCAGACCACAGCAGGCAAAGAATTATAGAAATGGTTATCAGTTATACCTATCGTGAAAAGTTAAAAAAGGGCACTGTAAACAACTGATTAAGGACTGACTACATTAGAGGTCTGTAACAGTATTATACTGTCTATTCTAGTGATTGTCTTACGTATCAAAGGTGACGCCTTTTCCTACCAAGGCTATAGGGCTGTCTGATTGTTTCCCTTTATACTCTATCTCTAAGAAAACAGGAGGCTCCACAGATCCCCTCGATACTGATAAAAATGATCCCATCTTCATTGACTCTGCCCAGGCTTTGTCCCTAGCAAACATAAAAAAAATATAATAAAAATTAAAAAAAAAAGAAAAGAAATAACCCCCCCCCCCCATAAAAAAAAAGAGAAATCATATGATTTATCAATTAAATTTAAGTAGGATATGGATTAGTCAATAAAGCAATTTTTCTAAATTGTTAATTTTTATAAGGCTGTTAATTAAAGCATAAGGACTTTATAGTCAGATGCACACATATCCACATGCTTCTCATGAAATTATGAAATTGAAGAGTTTTAAGTCTTCTTTTTTTCAATTCTGCAACATTGAATAAATAAAAAATATGATAATTTTTTGATAGATACCTGACAATGACATCACACTTAGAAGACAACTGTTCTTTGACAATTTCTGCAAATTTTGTTGGTGTTAGAAGATTGGATGGCATTTCCATCAGACGCCTGGAGAGATTTTGTCCATCAGCTAAAATTGTACCTCTTTTCCATCCCTTTTCAATGTTGCCTCTGACATTTAATAACACATGTTCATTGTTAGGATTTTAGCAATACATAATTCATCATTCTTCTTGAGTTTCAAGTAAATATATAATACATCATGATAATATGCATAGGCTAGTGCGTATCTATTCACTTCTCAAAAAATGTTATTACCAAAAATGAAAACTATAAAACCATTTAAAATATAAATTCATTTCAAACATATTGCAAGATACTGAAGTTACAATGTATTTACAGGGATTTTATAGAGATTTTGAATGACAAACCAAATGAAACTGTTGTTGTTGCTCTTACTTGTCTTGGCTGAAGCGTGAGGCAGCGGACACTGACACTGTTGGTTTTCTACTTTTTTCTGCCTTCAGTTCATCGTAAGAGAACAGAGCTAGGTGGCACCCCTCTGCTGAGGCTATAAATACATACCGTCTGATAAATGTTATTTAATAAACATGCATAATACATGAAAAAAGAATGTGGCTAAAAATGTAGTTAGTTAAATATGATCTTTTCTTTATAAATGTTCAGTTTATAACAACTTCTCATTTCTTTTATTAAATTACACATTTATAAAAAAAAATTTGTTGTCATATATGAATAAAAACTGAAAAAAGCTATTGCTTATATACTGTAGGCATTCTTTTTTACTTGTGGGATTAATTTACGCTAAGTATGAGGTCACCAATATTCCACAGAAAAATTGTCACAGTGTATTTAAACTGTGTTTAAGGCATACAAAGCCAATCTTAGAAATCCACAAAATTTTTTCATGTGCAGAAAGAACAGAAATTATAATTCCATGGAATTATAACTCCATGGACACAAGTATATTTACAGTATATAAACTACAGTCACTGTGTATTTTTTAAAAAACGTATCAATACCTTCAATATCACCACAAGGATCCACTTCTATCTCGTTCTCACCCAGTTCTCTCAACTCAAGAACAGCCTCTATAAGACAATATATCTCAACCAATTATAATGGAATAAACTGTAAACCTACTTTTATTCGTGTGCGAGAAATACCCACAAGTTTCGCGACCTTCTCTAACTCGTAAATATTAATCGCTGCGAACCATTTATTTTGCTTTGTATTTGTAGAGAATGTTTCATAGGTCACAAAAATTAATCTTCGCAGATTTCAAACTGACGAATCACGACTAAAAGATGACATGAATAATAGTAAGTTTACAGTATGCATAATTTGTACATTTTCTCAATGGAAAACACTTGCAGTATAATTTCTGTAATTTACATAGACGAACAATAAAATAACTATGCAATATCTATTCCTTGTTTTATAATATATTAATTTGTTTGTCCTTCTTTCATTGAAACATGTTACAAAATATAATTTTGCTATTAACACATATCTCTTTTAAGCATGTTTGTTTCTAGCAATTTATACAATAAATAACAAAATTTTGGGAAATAATACACTCCACAAACACATACTGTCTCAATGCTTAAATACTTTAATGTATTAATAAACAAAAATAAGACATTTCTTCAACATTTAACAATCTTCTTTATGACCTCTGTTATGTTAATCTTTATAGACTTACTTGCCACTGCTGCTCGTACAGATTCTCTCCCTTTGTCTACGGTTTCCAGTTCATCGTAGCCTTCTCCCTTTTTCCCAATACATGTGACGATCACTGAAGAAAACTCCGAGTCCACCCCATGTAATGTTCTAGTTTTTCCACCTTTCAGAGGTTTTTTGACCCTGTCATATCATTGAAGAAATTCTCTGACACTGGGTATATTGTACTGTAAAATCTATATATTTGGTATATTGGGTATAACATACATTAAGCAACTTTTAAAATCTTTATAACATCATTGATAAGTACCAGTCCTGGTTCTCTGTGAGAAAATATATTAGGTGTAACTCTTGCTCAAGACATATTACTTACCTGAGCAAAAGCTGGGCAATTTTCCCATCAAGTTTTTCATTGAATTTTCCAGCTGTACCAGTAAAGTCAATGGAGTCAGTTGAATCATTCTCATACACACCCAGAACCAAAGCTTTGTTCTACAATGAGACATATTGTTGTCGATTAACACTGTAATAATGTAAACAAGGGAATTTATTTGGGGGTAATTTACACTAAATGCGTGATAAAAATCATTCACACTCTGATTATCCCCCACAATCCAATATCTCTCTTCATATTTCAATCAGTATTCACAATACATTATCCTCATATTTTGGAAATACAGTTAACCTTCGGTACATGTATCTCGAACTCTGATATCTCGAATACCATGGATATATCAAGGTGATTTGGAAGTCCCAACCGCTTATTCTTTGAGTATTTTACTCTCAATATCTTGAATCCTTGGATATCTTGAAGTTTTTTCATGGTCCCATTGAGTTCGAGATAATGAGGTTTGACTGTATTTCTATTAGAGATACACTTCCAATAGAAGTTTAACAGATAACTCTCTAAATTAAAGAAATATTATTGTAATAAAATAGAGATCACTTTATTGCTAAGAGATATATTAATCCACAAATTCCTTAAAAGAGATCTTTAATGGTAAGAGAGATACAGTTGCCTATGTATAGACCCTTTCAAGTTTTATTCGTAATGAAATATTGTTTAAATGAGACACAGTTAAATTTCATAGTAAAATACATCTTTTTTTTTTTTACAAAGGAGATACAGTGTCTCACTCATAAAGTCTAAATGAGATGTCTCTTTGCTGAAAAGTAATCCTTAAAATCAAAAAAGCTATCTCTAGAGTGGATAGAAACATCTGAAAAGAGGGCATATTACTTTTATTCCCCTTACAATTTTCAGTATTCTCTGTCTCATTTTTAAATTTTTTTTCTTCATATTATTAGGGCCCAAGTATACAGATTTAATATAGGAGACATGGCTTATTATTATTTTTTTAATTTAACCTGATGTAATTTTCCTGGATATGTCAAGGGCGACTTTTTTTCCTTTCTTTCTTTTTTTTTTTTTTTTTAATTAATCGGAATCATACTCAAACATGCACTGACAAGTAAACAGCATAATTTTACCAGATTCGTTGATGTGGAAAATCTCCTTCTTATTATTGAACGTGCAATGCATTTGTGTCGAGCAGAAGCGTTTAATTTTTCCACTCCTCTGACTATAGACGCCGCCATTCTCCAAAGATAAAATGAAAGTAAAAGTAGATACGTTCTTATTTTTTATTTTTTAGATATAAAATACGAAAATGTGTTTTCGAGAGTAACCAATTATGACAAATTTTATTTAATATATAATTGAATTCCTTTCAATAGGTAAGACTTTGTTACTTTACTCTCTCATTTTGATATAGTCACTGTGTTTCAAGGTATTTACAATTTTCGTTTTGTGAATTTCAAATCCTAGCCTTAACAGTCTCCAACGTAAACCAACAAGAGCATCGAATAATTCACATTTTGACCATCAAATCAATACTTATACAGGTGTTGATACAGGCAGTAGGTAGCACAAAATGTCAGAATCGATTGTAATTATTTGAGGCTTATGGTTTCTTATGGCGGCAACGGATTCCAGGGAATCCAGTGTTTCGGTAACTTGCCCAACATGTGATCATTCTGTCCCCCAAAATAGAGGGAGTAAGAGAATTATTTGTCCAAAATGTGGAAATTTTTATGATCGTGACTCAGCAGTAGACGAACTTAGACAGATCAGAAGGGTGAACCGGGAGAAACAGTCTCCAAATGGAATTAAGGACAGGGATGAGGTGAATTTTTATTTGATTTTTCACCAGTAAAAAAGTACCCATTCAGTTTTTTCCCCCACATTGGATATGAATACCCTTCTTTGTTAACCAAGTATGTATCTGGTGTAAATGTGGTTGAAGTTTCTGATTATGATATATTCAGAATCTATAGAGATTTGATTTGACAGTTATGTTTAACCCCAGATATTATTGAATTTAAAAAAAATGTTTTCATATCAATTTTTAATACCCATGAAATTTTCAATTTAATTTATAAATTTAAATATTTCACTGCAAGTTGAAAATAATATGTTGACGGTGCGACCGTTGGGGCGAGCGCATTGTTCACTTCATTTTAAGATCCGCCTCTTCAAACCGCACGAGACATTTGGAACGTCTAGACTATGACGTCATATGTTAGCTGCATTTCCATAAACAAAGTTTAAAAAGTGCAAATATTTTAACAAAGAACGTTTAATCTACTATCTGCATGAAATAGCCATTAATTAAGGTGAGTTTATTTTTTGTGAAATTTTAGTTGTTGTCACCGCATGAACGAAGTTAGCAGCGAGAACAAAAAGCGATGCATTGTGGGTCAGAATTACTGCGGAAAAAAATTCTGTTGAATGAATGTGCAGTAGTCCAAATTTTCTCTTCGCCCAGGCGTTGTCGTTAGAGCTCGCAGTGACGAGCGGCGCTTCGCGCCGCTCGCTGCTCTCGCTATAATACATCAAACTTCAATCTTTATAATTATATCGAACTCATTGGACCTACATTTTCCGGATGAGTCTAGGTTAAAGTTTTTGGAGTATGCATGTACATGATGTAGGTTCATTTTAAAATAACTATTTGGCTAAATTTTCCCTACCTGAACCAAACTTGCATGGATGATAGATCTAAGGATGCACACTTAACTGAACTTGCTTTGGATGCTGAATATGACCTACATTTTCTGGATGAGTGACAAGGTTAAAGTTTTTGGAATTTCTTTCTAAAGTGACTAAAAGTCCCATGTGGACCAACTTTGCACTGAAGATACATTTATTAATGCACACTACCAGAGTTGCTTTGGATGCTGGATTTGACCTACATTTTCCAAATGAGTGACCATGCAGGTCAAAGTTTTTGGAGCAGGTCCATTACCAAGAAACTTTAAGGCCTATCTGAACCAAACTTGCATGGATGATGCCTCAAGGGATGAACACTCTCTAACTTAATGCTTCATATGCTGGATTTGACTTGCATTTTCTGGATGAGTTACTATAGTTCAAAGTTTTTGGATATAAGTCTATTTCCAAGTAACTACAAGCCCTATCAAAATGATCAAACCAAAACTGCATAAAAGTTGCATCTAGCATGTTTAGGGATGCAAACTACTAGTCAGATTATTAGTTTAGTATGGGACTTTACCTAGTTACTTAAAAGATAACATTTGTTGAGGTGAGCTCTGTAATCTCTGATTACCTATGTTTTGTTTTTCAAGTATTAATTAAAACATATCTTCAGTAAAAGAAAATGCTAGTTCTATAAAAGACAGATCAACTGCCAAAAGATGTAGATAAGGCATGATTCACATTTGAATTTGAATTTTGCACCTTGCCATGTTGGATTAGGACCTCTGATTGCAAATGCTGTGAAGTTGTCAATTTGAAGTGTCATCTGAGCAATCAATATATAGATGCTAAGATTAAATCCTGAATTTTATCACACATACATGTACATGATTACAAAGATGTGAGACTTAAATAGAAAGTGCCCCAATGTTAAAGTCTTAGATAAACTTTATTACCATTAATTTCATATTAATTACATAGCAATATATATATATATATATATATATATATATATATATATATATATATATATATATATATATATATATATATACAGGCCTGTAGGAAGCAATTTCACTTTGAGGGGGCACAATCATACATTTTCAGTGGGGGGGGGGGCACTATCAACTACCAAAATTCCTTGACAAGCCAAGAAAAAGGTCATCAGACGTTATCATTGAGAGGGAACAAGCATATTAGTAGCTATGTCATCTATAGTATTCCATATATCGGCAAAATTAGTGGGGGGGGGGGGGGGGGGGGCACGGCCCCGTGCCCCCAGTTCCTACGGCCATGATATATTAATAAAAATTTTACTAATTTTACAAAGTCTTCCCCTCCTTCTCATTATATTGTGACTAAAAGTAATATATGCTAAAAGCTCAACCTGAAGAATATCAAAAAAAAAATCAAATACATGTACTATGGAATATATTAAGTTTAATGTCTTTATTCCTTAATTAAAATAAATGAAAAATACCAGGGGTGATTGTTCATTGATTTTCTCAAGTGAAAATTTCTAAATGGAAGACGTGCAAATTCTTCAGTATAATTTTATATACAGTATGATATTCTGTACACGTGCTGTTAATTTAATAATATATCATAAACTTGTAAGTGTCGTGTGTACTTGGTTTTGGACCTCAAACTAAAGACAAACCATAAAATCTTGTTAACTTTTATTAGAAAAGCTGAATACAGTGAAACAATTGGTTACTCCACTGAACATGCTTCAAATATTATACTTACTGTATAATTTGACTGCATGGGTTTGAGGACAACATGCATTTTGTCAGACCCAAGAACAAATCTTTGCCTGAGGCCATTAGGCCAAAGGCAAACAATTTTGTTTAAGGGGACGACAAAACACATTTTGCCCGAGAACACAGTCAATAAATGTTTTGTTATACCTTTTATTTTTTCTGACATAATGTATGGCATGTCAAACGTTGCAATATTCGATCTTTTCCATTTGTATTGTATAATTTTCCATTTATATTCTTTAATTTTCCATTTGCATTGTATAATTTTCCATTTGTATTGTATAGTGTTTACTTGTATTCTATAATTTTCCATTTGTATTCTATAATTTTCAGTCTTCGACAAATCCCGGGAGTCCGATGCCCGGGACCTGGTAAATTTGGAAGCGGGCATGTGGAAACTGCATACTTACAAGCCCGAAGGGCATGTAAACTCGGAGGCTTAAGCTTCACTATTATCAAATTAAATTATAAATACCAATAACATTAAATGTACTTAAAAGTCTGAATTTTCATCTAAAGTGGAGCACCAAATAAAATTTTAACGGTAGTTTATTCTACCGCGATTTCCAAGGAACTCTTTTGCAAAGGAGACACAAAAAGTGTACAGGTTGAAAACAATGGTGAGACGATAGATCGATAGAAATGGATTTTGGATCATTTCCTTGGCATGAAAAGGCAAATAAGAATAAAATTACTTGATAAAATTCTGGGCATGTAAATATTTGTTCGGGCTAGTGTAATAAGTGGTTAAACCTGCCCGAAGGGCATGTACTGAAAAGAAGATTTGGCAAAGACTGAATTTTTCATTTGTATTGTATAATTTTCCATTTGTATTCTATGAATTTCCATTTATATTGCATAATTTTACAATACAAATGGAAAATTATACAATACAAATGAGAAATTATACAAAACAAATGGAAAATTATACAATACAAATGAGAAATTATACAATACAAATGGAAAATTATACAATACAAATAAAAATTATAAAATACAAATAAAAAATATACAATACAAATAAATAATTATTGACTACAAATAAAAAATTTACAATACAAATGAAAAAATATAGAATACAAATAAAAATTTTACAATGCAAGTGAAAAATTATAGAATACAAATGGAAAATTTTACAATACAAATGGAAAAGATCGAATATTGCCACGTTTGACATGCCATATACATGTACATGTATCTTGTATCTGTCACTGTCGAAACACCAATGAATGCGAAAAAGATTTAGCTGATCCCATCCTCAGTTTGACATATGCGGTCCAGCAGTATCTCTTTGACAGCTAGGTCCAATATCTCACTCTGTGGCCAAGCATCAATTTTTTTATAACAGCTCAGTAAAACATTGGAAATGTTAGACTTTTTTAGTATAGATTTTTATAGGAACTATTTTTTAAAAGTATAACAAAATGAATTAATGTTTGCAGAAAAGTGATTTTCATTCACTGTATAGTTGTAAAATATATTATGAAATTATTGGGTTTAATGAATTACATTTGTAACAATTCAAAATTTAATCTTCTTGGCACTTCGATGTAAGCATGCTTTACCTTTATTCCTTGATGAATCTTTTATATGTAATATACATGTAGCTATAAGGCAATTAAAACTATAATTTTGGCGTAGTATCCTGTAAATATAGTCTTTTATCATGTTTATTCCCCAGGAAAATAACAAATGGAATAGTAAAAAAAAAAAATATAAAGGAAAAGATCGAATATTGATAAAAAATATACAGTTGAACTTGGGTATCTCGAAAACGGATATCTTGAATACCATGGATATATCGAAGTGATTTGGAGGTTCCAAGAACGTTTTCTTTAAGTATTTTACCCTCAATATCTCGAACCCTCGGATATCTCAGAAGTTTTTTTCTCAGTCCCATCAAGTTCGAGATAATGAGGTTTGACTGTGATATGTAAACAACAGTTAATTACTCTTCTCTGACAATTTTGTGAAGAGATGAAGGGAATAAGAAACTTAATGAAATATTCATGGAATTCCTAATAATATTGAATTATAATTGAGACAGAGAAATTTATCCAGCTTTGCAATTCATGCTCAAGATAATTTAATATGCAGTGCATCTTATTTTTATATTCATCTAGTTGCCATGAATGTATATATCTTGCCATATAGTGTTATTCCTTACCTTCTGTCATTGTCATTCCATCAGAGTTTTTTTGGACTTCTTTGCCATGCTTAGTATATGCACATGTAAATAATGATTAAGATGTTTGGTATGTCTTAATCTTTATATTCCGTTGATGACTTTGAGATCAGTTCAAGTTTCATGTAGAATTGTTAATCCAGTTTTACTAAAGCTTATATCATTGCCCATTGACTTTGAAAATTCTAATTATTCATAGTTCTGTTCTAAGATTTTTATACCGGGCCCCCACTTGAAAAG